GCATGTCTTAAAGAGACTGAGCTTTTAAAATATTTTACTTTTTAAAGACTTGAGCGCTTTTAAAGATATACTATGTTTTATGTTGTAGTGTTAAGATTAACATCACATCTTGGGGATAAGCAAAAAAAGAAAGGTTATGCTTAATAGTACTGTATTAGTGTATAGCAGACAAAGATTAATTGTCCTGGTGTTTTTGTTCATTTGTTGGTTCTTTTTTGCCACCTTGATACAAGCTACAGTTATTTGAGGAAAGGGAACCACAATTGATTGGCCTTTAGAAAAGCCTGTGGGGTATTTTTCTCAATTAGTGATTGATGTGGAAGGACCCAGTCCATTGTGGGTGTTGCACACCTGGGCAGATAGTCCTGGGGTATGTAAGAAAGCAGGTTGAGCAAGCCATGAGGAGCAAGCAGCACCCCTTCAAGGCCTCTGCTTCACCTCCTGCCTCCAGGTTTTGCTTGAGTTTCTGCCCTGACTTGCTTTGATGATGGCCTGTGATGTAGAAGAGTAAATGGAATAAACCACATTTGGTTATGGTGTTTTGTTAGAGCAGTAGAAACCCTGACTAAGACAGTTATCTTATTCAATTCTACTTTTAGCTGATAGCCTCTAGGGGAGGGAGAGTTCATTTTCTTTAAGGGTGTACCATTACCATGAGTATATGGACAGCCGCAAATTGTACTCAGTGGGTTAGAAAATAAGAAAAGGGGCCAGTGAATTGGCCTGGTAGGTAAAGGTGCTTACTGCCATATCAGAGAACCTGAGTTGGATTACTTGGATGAACATCATAGAAGGAGAGAAGTCCTCGGCTGACTTCCAGACACTCACACACCCACTGTAGCATGGATGCATCCACACGCAATAAATTAACTAAGCAATGTATTAAAAATTTAAAGGATATAAAGTTGGGGAAGGAAAAGGGGGGCTATGTGGGGAGAGGGGGTAGATCCAGAAGGAGTAAGGGATGAATATGCATAAAATTTTCAAAGAATTAATTTAAAAATAAAACTCTTAAATGTGGTTCTTAACAAAGCAGTATTTGGGGTTTTGGTCCTGGCAAGTCCTCAGTGATTACCTCAACCTTCGGAGCCATTAAAGAAATCTTTTTTTTCCTGCTGAGTATCCGGGATGTCTTTCCTCGGCTGTGAGCCACCTGGTAGTCATTGTAACCTGGAATTGTAGCCATTGAGTTTAGAAATGACAGGCACAGGTGCCAGCATTCTCCGTGAGATCCTCAAGTGCAGTGGCTTGTCTCTGCTGATAGCTGCTGCTTCCTGTGTGTCAGAGCCTGGGTGCATGGGCCCCACACTTTTGCCCTTTGTTCCTCCATGCTAACTTAGAAGAACTGGGGTCCAAATGTGAACCAACGGGCAGCTTTGAACCACTCTTAGATCCTGGTAAAACTTTGTGCATGGCATTTGCCTTTCTATAAAGATTAAATCCAAGGTATAGGTGATTTGAAACTCTTAGCCTTACTTTATAGTTAAGGGACCAGGATCTCAGAATTAAAGTAATTGTCTTAGATCACAGAGCCCTACATAGAGTTGGTAGGCATTCACAGGTTGGAAATGGAGTCTGGACTGCCTGACCTCACGCTTAAGTCTTCTGCCCCTCAGCAGCCTACTGGCTCGAAGTATCTCCAGCGGGAGGATGGGAGGTAGAACACATCTTCCCGCAGGTGCAGAACCAGGGTTCCTCAACTGTCCTGTTCTATCCCAGGGCAGGTGCTTATGCCTTTCTTGCTTTGCATTCTTCTTTATCCAGAGAGGGTGTCCTGGATCTTGTCCTCAGTCACATGAGACAGAGAGCTCATCTGAGTATTGAAAGTATGCATAGAACTCCTTAGCACATTTCTAATAATTTTTATTCCTCATAAATTAGCTTTGCTGAAGACAGGGTGCAGAGGGAGGTATTTGGGGGCAGGAATAAACTCTTTGGCACATAGAGATTCCGATGGCAAAAGAGGGGAATTCAAAGATGAAAGTCCTAGCCCCTCAGGTCGTGCCTCTTCTGTCCTCTAGGTGCTTACTTTGTGGTCCTTAGCAGGGGATGATCAGAGGACATCTTCCATGCACATGTATCCATGGTAGTATGGCTTTGTACAGAGCCAGTCTGCAGGAAAGGTGTTTTGCTAATTACCCTTATGTGTATATCAGGCAAAGTGACATTTGAGTGATAAACTCAGTATAAGTTCATTATTCACTCGAGTAAAACAAATAGTTTATGGCTCCTTCGTTCTGGAACCTTGGTCCTGTTATCTTCTTCATTTTTACTAACATAGAGGGGATATTTGTGTTGTTGGACTACCTTTAGCCTGATCTCGAGGGTGTCTGTACATCTGAGTGGTTTTGCAGCCCTTTCTTTCTGTGTACTGTGCTGGAAAATTGCCATGTGAAAGGCACTGTTCTAATGTACTTGAATCCAAATGGGCTCTCCACACAGAAACCATAACCACTTACTAGACTGTTACTTCAGGAATCAACTTTTCTTTGCTATATTTATTTGATTTTCTATAAAATTACTACTCTAGTGATTCTTATGTCAGTGATATTTTATGTGGAAGAAGCAGTTTAGCAGGAGGAAAGATTTACTTCAGCGCACAATTTCAAAGGTCTAAATGTCCAAGATTAGCTGGATCCATGGCTTTGGACCTTGTGGAGAGACAGAGCGTCACACAGTGGGAGCACGCAGCATGGATGTTCACTTCATGGTGATTAGGAGACAGGGGAAGAGGAGCAGGAAGGGACTAGACTGTTACTTCAGGAATCAACTTTTCTTTGCTGTATTTATTTGATTTTCTGTAAAATTACTACTCTAGTGATTCTTATGTCAGTGATGATATTTGATGTGAAAGAAGCAGTTTAGCAGGAGGAAGGTGACTGAGGATGAGATGCAGGAAACCCTCCCTGGATAGAGAAGAATGCAAAGCAAGGTGGGGCCCCTTAGTACCACCAGTGACCCAGCTAAGTGTGCCAGCCAGCCCTCTAAAGTTTACAATGAGTGGGCCCGCCGTCTAAAGTATACAGCACCTTCCAAAATTAGCACCGTCAGCTGAGGAGCAGCCTTCAGCCTGTGAGCCTGTGAAAGGCAGTTTGTCCTAAGCTGTAACAGTCACCTTACTAATGCTGACTGCACAGGCGTAGGTGGTGGTGTCACGTTCACCAGGCTAGTGACACATGTGGTGCACACAGTGCTGCTCTTCTTCTTCTTTTCATTGTTGATTAGCAGTAGGGAATTCATGTGCAAAACAGATTTAGTGATCAGTGTGATATAAAGGAAATGAAGTATGTATTTGTTTGTCACCTAGCTTATGCACATTCTGTCTAAGCTCAAAGAGGCATTTAATAGCCAGCTTAGCCGGGCCTTGGCCCAAAGCATTTTGAAATTAGCTGGAAAATCTCTGTAGTTCCAGTTCTATCCCCACACATGGTGGTGATGTTAATATTTTTTAAAAATTTTTTTCAGATCATAATTCTCAGCATTTATTTCTCTCACATTCCGTCTTAAATTATTTTAATAATTTTTTACACTTTTTTAAAATTTTATTTTATAATTTAATTTAATTTTACATATCAGCCACGGATTCTCTTGTCCTCCCCCCTCCCACCCCCTCCCAGCTTCCCCCCAGCCCACCCCCCATTCCCATCTCCTCCAGGGCAAAGACTCCCCTGGGGATTGAATTCAACCTTGTAGATTCAGTTCAGGCAGGTCCAGTCCCCTCCAATTTTTATATGTAAAATTTAAAGTGCTTTTGGAAAGTAAAAAGAATAAAGCATTTCAGTATTAGCTGTATTAGCATTTTGATGTGTGTTTTTCTAAAGGAGCTTTGCTTTCCATGGCCTAGAGGGACTTGTTTTTTCCACATTAACCATTCTAACTATACTTAAAGGGAGTCCATGTTTGCTGAATACTTTACTTATCATGAGCATAGTGGTGGCAGAAGCTTTCCACAGTAATAGCTTGGATTCAGTGCAGGACTATGACTGTGATCCAAGGTTCTCATTCCCTTGTATTTCAGCATCCTTTCTATCAGTAGGAGACCCCTTTACTCTATCTGTGAAATCCTGTTCCTCGTTTCATTCACTCTTCCATGCCTGAAAGGTACTTTCCAAGCCTCCCTTGGGAGTGAATAAAAAGGGACTCACTCGGTCTTAATTTCCAGCCTTGCTCGCTATCTTTACACGTGAATGATAGCACAGGCTAATAATATAACCATCTTTACCTTCTTGACTAATATATTCCATGAAAAGGAAGCATCATGATGTAATTAGACACCGTTAGCCATCAGGGTGTTCCCTGCCCTTCTGTTGTGTGGCAGGACATAAGGTATCTCTCAGCCTTATGCGTTCCTGAAGCCTTCTTCTAAGAGTGTTTGCAGGGTTTCGTCCTGAGGAAGTAGCAGTGCATGTCTTAGTCTTTTTTCTACTTACTCCTGTTTTCCTTGGCTAGTGGGCCATCAACTATAGTGTCCAGTCTGGCCTCTGAAACTCCAGCATCAGAGGGAACTTGTGGTACCAACACATTGCCCTAATACGGGGCAAATCAAGGGACTGTTTGTATCACCTTTCTGTCCTCAGCTTGCCTCAGCACCGTAAGTGGAAGCAGCCTTTACTGGCAGAACCGAGAATCCTAAGTCTTCCTTTCCTCGGTGCTCTGAGCTCAGTGACTTCCCTTTGGTACCTCCCTGCAGCCATGCTGGTGTGTCCTGGTGCGGAAGCCAACACTGCCCTCCAACAGTACAGAATCATTTGATATTAAATGTAAAGCCTGGGATTTTGTGCCTCTAGCTCTACATAGAACTGAATTGCTGAGGCAAAAGACCGCCTTAGGACATACTTCTGGGTTCTAGAGCTGACATCATCATCGTGTGGCTGATTCCTACTTGTTAACTGTGTGATGATCGGCACGTAGAAACGACGGTGCCAGAAGCAGCTAGAGTCAGCATTTGTGGCAGAATGATACTTATTTGACTTAACTCCATTTACTTTCTTACTTGATAGGTCGAACTGTGCTGAGAATATCCGCAAACACATTTTACACACTGGCAAACATGAAGGTGTGAAGATGTACAACTGTCCAAAATGTGACTATGGGACAAACGTCCCCGTGGAGTTTCGAAACCACTTGAAAGAGCAGCATCCTGACATTGAGAACCCTGACCTCGCATACTTGCATGCTGGTAAGGAATGGAAACCGTAAAAGTGCTTGTGTTTTGTTTTTTAATAACAAGATCTCATTTCATTTGCCACAGTAGTTAGGAAGCTGTTTGTAGATAACTGTGACTTCTACGAATGGAATCCAATGTTGACGGAGTCTGTTTCTGGCCCTGTATGGAAGCTCATCGTGGTCCTTCCCCACTCTGCGTGGAAATAGGCCCTTTCACCTACTTTAATCACATTTGAAAATCTAACAAAATTATTGTTGGGCATCAAAGCTATTAGCAAATGTTGAAAACATAGTCAGACACTGATCAGAGTTTCTTTTGAGCTTTGTTTTTATTAATTGATAGAGCTTAATTTTTTCAGTGTATTTATGATTTAAAATGTTACACTGTATTCTTTGTTCCACTGTTTTCCCATAAAAGCCTGGAAGTTGGAAGAATGTGGCTGGGGAAGTGACTCAAGCACCTTGGAGGTTACAGGATCCTCCCTTTCCAGCAGTCAGGAGGAGAGGAACCTGGGAATGGCATGGCTGCCAGATTGTCCCTACCTCTTGACGTATAAGTCAGATATGATGGAAGATGTCATACATAGCAGTGACTCTAGGTAAAGCAGATTGGTTCCTGTCACCCAGCTTTTTATTTAATTGAAAAATGTCCCTGAGTATAGAATCTTCTATACACAATAGAAGACATTGGGCATCAGGTATGTCATTCTGTTTAAGGAAGCATGCACCCCTAAAGTCAGTGTAGGAAAGTGTCCTGGGATGTGGCCCTAACAGCACCATGTGAAGACACAGCTAGTGTATCCTGGTCTGCAGAAGCTGACAGCTAGCCACCTCTGCTTCTCACTGTGCCCATGTGGCTCTTGACAGACTGGTTTTACCATGCCAAGGATTAGTTAGTATATATCTGTGAGGGTGCCATTGTATGATGCATGCAATGGAAAGGTTAGCTCAGATACTCTGTGGACAGGGCTATAATAAGCATGGTTGGTAAAGCCAGGCTGTGTGTTTGTGTGAAAACCAAGGGAAGACCTTTCTATAAAAACTGGGCTGTTTTAAGATATATATATTTTTGCACATATGATGTCCACATCAGAGAAAAGAGAACTTTGTGGATAACTTAAGTTAGGATAACCTTAATGCATATGACAATGTGGGACTATGCCAAGTTTGGTACTGGTATATTCTTTCAGTTTTCTCAATTTAAAATAATGTTATCATATATTAAAGTAATGATGGGATTGCTGATTTCTTGAGCTCTGTTGTATACAGGGATGTTTTGGGAACCAAACAAAAGCAAAGGTCTCTACTTTTTCTATTTTGGTGAGGTTGGCACCTTAGACGTTTGAAAATCTGTTTATCAGCTAGAGTTCACACAAACAGATAATGTCAGCTTAGACTATTTTGACTGTTCTACCCTTGGGCTCTCCATCAGCATGAAAGCAGTACAGCAGAGGTGCTGGACGTACTGACCTAGAAGGGGGTTAAGCATGGGCACTGCATGGCCTAGAGGGCCAGCAGAGCCCTTACCCAGTGTGACTGTTCCTCCAGCTGCTTGGCCCAGAATGTCCCCACCCACTTCCTCTTCTCTCTCTCTCTCTCTCTCTCTCTCTCTCTCTCTCTCTCTCTCTCTCTCTCTCTCCCTCCTATCACCTAAGCTATACGTTTACCGTGGACTCTATCTGACGTGAAGTATCTCTTAACTTGTCAAAGAAACAAATGCCAAAGAAAGGAGGAAGCTCCTCACAGATGGCATCTGTGTCCATTTTATGTCCCATAAACTAGTCCTATAGACTAGAGGGGCAGACCACGTGTCCCATGTACTAGTGGTGCTAGACGCTACTTAATGGTAGGCTTTGATGTCTCACTGGCTGTGGACAAAGATTTGATGAAACTGTTCCACTTCGCTGTGTGTATGAGGCTCATGAATGGATGGCCTTAGTTTTCTCTTTGTATCCAGCATACGGTACATGTTCATGAGTAGACAAGATAGCCTGTGAGAGGCTGGCAGTGGGAAGAGAGTCTGCTTTTCCTGCTCAGCCTCATCCAGTTTGTTCATAGCATTGGTTGCCTTGCCTGTGTTCTTGCTGGGGTTTTTGCACTTTCATTTCACTTATTATTACTCTGTGAGGGCATGTGTATGTGTGATGTTGGGGAGAGTGGGGAAGGGCGTGCACAGGCCACAGCACAGGCATGGAAGTCAGAGGACAGCTTTCAGGAGTCGGGGGTCATCTGCTGTGGCTTCTAAGGCTCTAATTCAAGTTGCCAGACTTGCATGCCGAGTGCTGTTACCATCTGAGCCTCTTACCACTCATTGCTCTGTGTTTTGTTTTATTTTTTAAATATCATTTCTCTCAGCTGTTAGTGGGAAACTTAGTGTACATTTCCTATTATTGTGGATTAGTGTATTTTCATCCAGTGACTTCATTCTGTTAAGTTTGGCTTTTGCATTTTTTAAAGATACATCACTGGATACATAGAATTTTAGGATGTTTTATGTACATGCATGCATACATACACACATGCATACATACAAACTCATATATATGAGGTATATCTGTATATTTTCTTATGATAATGAAATGTTCTTTTTCTGTCTATAGCTTTACCTCTTGCCATAATTTTGTGTTCATGTAGTCTAGCTCCACCAGCTAACCTATATGCAGCACATGTTAGTCTGTTTATAATCTGGTATTCAGTGGTAATCTTTTACATAAAACACGATCTTTTACTTAGTATTCATATTTCATGTAACTTGATATATTTACTCTAGCCAAAAACAAAACTACACACATACGAATGGGGTAGAGTGTATAATATTATATGTTAGCATAAAGGAATACTCAGCATCAATGAAAATATATGAATGATAAAACTACAGTCAGCAATGGTATATAAATCTTTTAGTCATATCATTGGATGAACTAAGCTAGACACAAAAAGGCCATTATGAATAATTTCTGAGTGAAATATAATCATAGGCAGCATCAACCTCTTGCCCTAGCCTCAGGGTGTGCTTTCCTCTAGGTATCAGTGGTTGCTCTATTCTGTTTCTTAACACTAGTCAGGTCAGACTGTGTTCAGTTGAAAAACATTCATCTGGTGCTCTCCTGTGAGCCAACCACAGTCTGTACTTTTTTTAACAAACATACTGCCCACTTCTAGATTTCTAAATAGCTAGTAGGAGACATTATAATCACATTAGTCCCCCAACACTGGCATCCATTTAAAGTGGTCAGAATTCTCTTGATCGTGTATTTCATCTCAGAAGTCCCTTGACTTGGATCTCCCAGGTTCAACAGTTGCACCGTGGCCGGTTCTCTTCCTGGGAAGTAAGCTTGGTACGCGTCCACTGCACCTTGAGCAGAGCTGAATGTGTCAGTGTTGGCAACACAGTGACCACACTAACTCACGTGTGGTGCTTTTCTCTTCAGTAGCTCCATCTGAGAATGCTGTAAACTCAGCTGAGAGAAAGGGAGATGGTGGCAGAGGGCATCACTGGAGATGACGGAGAGCCCCATGGCCGGGCTGGAGAGTTGTCCTCACTGTGCCGACCCTCCTGCTGTGGGGGCAAGAGTCTCCCTCAGCCCCAGGACAATGTGGCCGGCCTGGAGTTCACACTTATCTTTGAGAAGCTGAGATGTTGAAGGTAGTGAGAGAGCAGTGTGCTCTTTCCGGAAAGATTAAGCAGTGAGCCATGATTTAGTACTTTTCTTTTTCTTTTTCTTTTCTTTCTTTTTTCAGTTTTCTGATGTCATATTTTTCATCATATTTAAGTTAATTTTTCGTTAGTTCTACATACTAAGACATAGTCATTTAAATAGTACCCTGAATTATTGTCTGTACAGGGTGGTATAATCTGAGTTTGCTGTGTTGTCTTCACAAATCTATATTTTCATATTCTTCTCTAAGTTAGTTTTTATATTTTTATGGTATGTTTTATTCAACTCTAGAATGGGGAAGTTTGACTATTATCAAAACCTCATGTCCTTTTGTCTTCCTTTCTAATTATAACTAATTCAGTACCATTTAAGCTATACTTACTTGATTTTTTAATTCTACTCAAGTTCATACTTAGATTTGATAGTCTTCCCCAGCCCACTTGCTTAATCGATCGCTGTTGAGGTAAAATAGCTTCAGCCTTTGTCTTCTGAGCTCCACATGCAGGTGTCCTCCCTCAGACACCGGTGTTCTCCTTTCGGGTCTGTGTGCCCCGCTCTGCAGAGCCTTGCAGAGGGCAGTCCTTCCCAGGGTTGTGCCCTCTGTTTCCACCCTGTTCCTTTCTTACCTGTTGTTACTTTGATGCTCTGACACATGTCATGACATCGTGTACAGTGATTTATTTTATGACAAAGTCCCAAACTCTGCAAACCCTGACAGTTTTTCATTGGCTCTCCTTTACAAAAACCAATGATTACTTCAACATAAAAAGGAAGGAATTTTTTCTGACAGATTGCCTTTGGTAAATCCATGCTGACTCACTCCAATTAAATTGTACTTCTCCAAATGTATCATTAAGCTCATCCATGAGTATCATCTCAAATTTATTTCCTAATATAGATGCTAGACTTACAGGTCTATAATTTTCAGCCTCTCCCCTCTTCTTTTTAACCTTCAGACTGGATTCCTTGTTTTCTAGTCTCCTAGTTCTTCACTCTAACAAAAGACTTCCTAAAATAATTAACAGTTCAGGGATGGGAATTTCTCAGCCAGTCATTTTCTTAAATGCTGCTAAGAGTCTTTGTTCTTCCCAAACTGCCGTCTGTATGCCCTGGCATCCATCTTCTGCTGTAACCAGCCCTCTGTGTTCGTTCTCGAATGGCAGCTCTGGTATTTGGGTAGCTGCCCTTTCTCTTTGCGCTCCTGCCGACTCTCATGCCTGTTCAGGTTCCTAAGTTCGGATGAACTGCACTGCGTTCTTTGTAGTCGCTGAGTGAACGATATCAGAAAGGCCGTTTTTATCAGCCTGGGTTTTTAGTGCTATGATTGGCATTCCAGGAAAATCCCGTTCCTTCA